GGCTACAGTGGGTTAGCCTATAGGGGGTACACAATTCTAGGGTTAGGTACTTGTACTGATTTCACTGTTAGTTCAATCATTCCTGTCCGTTCATTCTGACACACATGTGTTCCTCAGGACGCTTCGTGCAGCGAGAGTATCAACTTCAACGTGAAGTAGTCATCACCGTCGCCAACAACCAAAACCTGCGCACACGACGACAAGGCGTAGTACAACTTCAGTCACGAGAGACAAATGTCATTCTACAGATGTCGAAGGTCTTAATCGCAGAAGGCTTCGGATACAACTTACTGAGCGTCAGTCAGCGGATGGCGAAAGGAATTCACCTTGAAGCAGATAGCACCACGCAAGAGTTCAAGCTGTACCACGGGAAGGGCGGCCTCTACATCGGAAAGGCGATCCTGAAGAACAACGTCTTCGTCCTTGATTTTGTCCCAGATCTCGGCACCGCAGACAGCGACGGGATCGTCACCTTCACTTCTTGGACCCACCCTCCGGATCTTGATGAATTCAGCCCCGGTGGATTCTGGCACTCACACACCATTCCTGAGGCAGAAAGAACAAGGGCATTAGCAACAATTCAACATTCGGCAGCAGCAGAGACAACATCGGCAGCAACAGAGACAACATCGGCAGCAGCAGAGACAACATCGGCAGCAGCAGAGACAACATCGGCAGCAACAGACACAACGACGACAGTAGCGGCAACATCGACATCGGTCGCTGGTCCTTCAACGACACCACTCCTGATCGACGACACGCCACCGACACCCGCACAGCAGTTAAACCCGATGCCACGAGAAGTCCACTAAAGCGCCAACGTCACTGCCGGCTTCTACTCCAACTCCGATCTGTATCGACGATCACCCGGACACCGCGCCAGCGAAAGTACCTGGCACGCAAGAATGGGACATAGACTCACTATAAGGGCAGGAGTGCTTGACAAAGACTCACTCCTACTAACCGACGGCAGAGAACTTCAACGAGCACGTGGAACATGCTTCACCTGTCCTGAAGCTGACTTACCGCATCAGCCGTTCGTCTCGCATCACAATCCAAGCGCACCTGCATACGCACCACTCGAGAAGGTATACTGCGACATCCTGTACAACCGCGAGCCCGGACAAAACGCCTACAATTACACCATCACCTTCATCGACGCTGCCACGCGATATGTCTGGCATCTAAATCTTCCGAGCCGCGACATGGCCTTCGAAGCCTTCGTAGCATGGCTTCCAGTAGCAGAACGAGAATCAGGAGTGAAGCTGAAAAGCTTCCAGTCAGACGGAGGAGGAGAATACTCGTCACAAAGATTCAAACAGTACCTGGCAGAGAGGGGAATCAAGCGACTCATCTCCCTTCCCTACGCCCATCAACAGCAAGGCGTAGCAGAAAGGATGAACAGGACCCTCCAGAACACCATGCGCAAGCTGCTACGTGGCATGCGGCTACCCAACCACCAGTGGCCCGAAGCAATGGACCACGCTGTCATGCTGCACAACTTGCTTTCTTCGTCGTCACTCCCGAACAATGCATCACCGCATCTGCTGTGGACAGGAAAACTGGGCAGCACAAAAATGTTACGAGTCTTCGGCTGCATGGTACAGTACCGACCTCCATCTGCACGAGCCGGCCGATTCTCCCAACGCGCACAATGGGGACTACACCTGGGCATCGAAAAACATTACAACGCATGGAAAATTTTCGACATTGAGACAAAAGAAACAGTGGCAGCACGTGATGTCATCTTCTACGAGCGACTCACACTG